GGAAAAGGGAACCCCAGAAATTGTAAAGCGAGTTGCTCCTTGGCACTGACTTGAGACCAGGAATGTGACTTCTACAGAAGTAGACATACATTACAAATCACATATATATCAGAAAATGCCTTTCAAACTTCATATTCACCTTCTCACGAGTCTTTTCCAGGAAAGTAAGAGCCACATTAGGATCTAGAATAGAAACACGAACAAAGTCAGACCTACCAACAGCAGATTTTTACCAGTTAAGACATCTTTAGGCAAGAAAACAGTGACATTTCTTTCTCAAGTGCACCGATGCTGGCCTGGGACTATGTGACTCAGGATGTCATCACTGCTCAGTCAGTACTGGCAACTCAGTGGGCATCACTAACCCTGGCCAATTTGGTATTCTCTATTATGAAACAAATAGAGGCTTACCGGTCATCTGTCTAACCACATGAAGAATTATTTCTACCAGGGACAAAGGGTTTACCCTGAAATAAAAATCACCAGTTTTTGAGTGTTAAAAACCACTAATGTATTCATTTTCAAAGTAAAAAACTGACAAAAGGGGATTACCTGTGTTCAAATTCACTGATGAAGTTTTCATAAAGCTGCGAACCAAAGACGGAGAATTAGTACAGAGAGAGCTTCACTCTGCGAAACAGACTCTGAAAACTACTTCTGGTTAGAGCTGCAGCACTGAGACTGTCAGGTGCAAGTGTGCAAACCACAATGCCCGTCACAGAGAACACACCGCCCAAACCTCTGCTGAATGATGGAAGAATGAACCATCTCGGGGCTTATTTGAGTCCACATAAATGATCACCAATGAATTATTGAAGAAAACCAGAGCTCCTAGCTTTGAGACTCATAACACTGGTCTATAAGAGTCTCCTAAACAGCCAGGTGGGTGGTGGTGGCGCATGACTTTAATGCTAGTACTCGGGAGGCAGAGGCAGTCAGATCTTTGTGAGTTTGAAGCCAGCCTGGTCTACAGAGCTAGTTCCAGGTCACCCAGAGCTACAAAGAGAGACTCTGTTTTTAAAAAAATGAAACAATAAAAATAAAATAAAATAAATCAGGGGTTGGAGAGATAGTTTAGCAGTTAAGAACACTGGGGCTCATCCAAAGGTCCTAAGTTCAATTCCCAACAACCACATGGTGGCTCATAACCACCTATAGTGGGATCTGATGCCTTTCTCTGGCATAAAGTCATATACGTAGATAAAGCACTCATTTACATAAACAAATCTTTAAAACGATCTCCTAAATATCAATTCCTAGATTGTTCCTCCAAGGTGCTCCAGTACAGAAGCTGCACCAGGGTGAATGTTCCTAATCAAACAGATTAGAGTTCCTTCAGATTTCAGAAGGTTCTAGGCCTTCAATAGGCCTGCGCTACCATTTCCTAGCCACTCAGCCACACGTGACCCCTCAGACACTAGGCCAGTACTACAGACACACCATGTAAGGCAAATGCCAAGGTTCAGGATGCTCCTGGACTACTGGAGAAGACAAAACAAACGAACGATAACATTCTTAGTTTAAGAAACACAGAAAAGGACTGGAGAAGTGGCTCAGTGGTTAAGAGCCCTTGTTGCTGTTGCAGAGAGCCTGGGTTCAGGTCTCACTACCCACGTGATGGTTCATAACCATATGTAACACTAGACTAGAAAAGGATAAATATGCACCACTATGATATAGAATATGCAATGTATCTGATTTATCATTTCCCCACATGATCTGAGAGACAGAACACCCAGCAAAATCTTTAGGATTACAAGCGACTGCAAATTCTTAAGGGTGATAAAATGTCAAACTGATAAATAAAAATCCTAAGAACATCTTAAGCCCCAGGAGATGAGGTAGCGAGTGGTAAGCTTCATTATAAATAATATAATGTATCCAGGAGTAAGAACTCAAGCTACGAGTCAGCTAACTACCCCTTTCAAAATCAGATGACGGCAGGACAGAGCTCAGAAAAGAGGCTTCTGGAGAGAAAATTCAGGGGTATTCTAACAATGCATCTAATGTGGCATGGGAAAGAGTGTGCATTTCTATATTTTTCTGAGGATAAAATTAGAAAAGTGCGCTATTACAAAGACAGCATATCATGCAGGCTCCCTCCAACTCCCTCACCTTCAACTGAGGACATTCTCTTTTCTATACTACCCGGGACAGAAATCTCTGAGCAAGTGGAACCAGTGTGCATGGACAGGCTGGGAGAACTGGGAAGTGAGGGGAGCTGTTTAAATGGTACCTTTCCTTACTAATCTTGCTGTGTAAGCCAGGCTAGTCTTGAACAACTGATCTTCCAGCTTCAAGTTTCGAAGTGCTGGGATTATAGGTATGCCACCATCCAGGTTCGATTTTGCTTGTTTGTTTGTTTGTTGGTGGTGTTATGTGAGGCTCAGAGGGCCTTTGTTTGTTTGTTTGTTGGCAGTGTTATTATGTAAGGTTCACATACTAAACACATACTCCCATTGAGCCATGTTCCCAGCTCTAGTCTACATCTTTAGAAACCAGAAAGTCTGTTTTCAATGTGGTGATTTATTAGCCATGACCTCTGGTGATTCATCTATGTCTGCTATTGCATTAAAAAGAGACAGTGATAACAACACTGTCTCAGTGCTGTCATAGAGGGCATAGTGCTTACAAGCGTCCGTGGCACAAAGTGATTGCTGAAAAGATGCAGCCTACTGTGACCATTACAAAGGCCATCCTTTTTCTTTAAAAGTTCAGGAGTAGAGCCAGGCATGGTAGCACACGCTTTTTAATGCCAGCACTTGGAAGGCCAAGGAGGTTGACTGTGAATTTGATTCCAGTCTGGTCTACACAGCAAGTTCCTGGTGGGTCAGAGCCTATCTCAAACAAACAAACAAACAGAAAATAATAAGCAGGCACGGAGAGATGGCCCAGAGATAGTTAAGAGCATTTTGAGGCCTCAAATCAGGTTCTTAGCACCTATACCAGTTGGCTCACACTGCCTGCAACTCCAGACCCATGAGATCCCTTCTGGCCTCCTCGGGCATCTACACACATATTGTGCTCTCTCTTTCTCTCCCCCTCTGACACACACTAAAGTTAAAAAAAAAAAGTCTTTGAGTATGCTCAACATAATCTGACCTAGTATGGCAAGTCATTACCTTAATGAGACCATCTCCTTGGGCAAAGCACGGGTCCTGTACAAAATCAAGCACCTGAAGTGTGAGCTGATGCCACAACCTAAAAAAAAAAAAAGTGCTTCAGACACATAAACTACTAGGAAGTAACCGATACCATCAGCTTTGATGGTCCCCATCAAGTATTATTGAGGACCCACTTCACAGTACAGTAATTAAAGCATGTGCCAATTAATTCAAGTACATTTCTTAACTCTGTTACCCTTGGTCACTTATCCTAAGACTCGGTTTCTTAGGTAACAATGGAGAACATCTTTTGAGACTGCCTCAGCACTCATTTTGAGTGTCAACTGGGAGAATTTTGCAATGCTACAGCTATATTTTGAACTCTGTGCTCCCTTACTTATTAGCTGAATATCTCATGAAGGAATAGAAAACTGATCTTCGGTCTCCTCATCTGAGGATGAGATGAAGGATGAAATAAGCCAATAAAGTATGTCAATAGATACATCTTTAGGACACCGACATAGCACATTTCACACAATGACTAAAGGCTAATATTTAATAGTGTAGATAAAGTGCTTTGAAACATACAAAATGCTACCCACCAAACACTGAAAAATTTCTCGTGAAAACACTAATAGTAGAAAACTGCTGAACACCGTCAAAACACATGAGTGTTTGTGTAGAATGGATCTCCAGGAAAGGTGTTTCTTCATGAAACGCTCTAGATCAATGTCAGCAATTTGTAACTGTTCTGAAGTTCATCCTGTTTCTAATCAAATGCAAACACTAAGATCTCTCCACTGGCAAAAAGGTCAATGGGAAATATAACAGAAAACAGAGGCAGTGGTGGATGAATCAACGATTCTAGAATCAAGAAGAAATTACAGGCGGTAGACAATCACACCGTGGTTTAGTACAAATTACCAGGGCCCGTGTCTCAAATGGGGTGGCATCTTAGCCTCAAAACTATTTGCTTGCCTGAATTAAAAGCTAGCATTCACAGGCCAGCTCGAGCCCCTTTAGTTAAGACCATACAGAAGACAAAACCTGTCACAGCCAGTAAGTTTATGGAAAGCAGGGAGTCTAGATTCAGAACCCTGGCAACAGATGTTCCTTTGGCTGTCGCCCCTTTCAGGCGCTCCTAGCGCCCTCTCCCTCCCGTCCACCCTCAGAGCTCACTTCTTCGTGTACAGCTCCTCCAAACGGTGCCAAATGGCGGCCTGGCCCGGCCCGGAGCTCTGGCTCTGTTGTAAGAAGGCCGGCACATCCTTCATGATTGCAGAGAACTGGGAACAGAAAACACCAAATAGTCTGAACCGGCGGGGATGGCGGACGGAAGTGCTCGCTCACTTCCGGCACCGCGCCGCGCGGGGCATGCCGGGAGCGTCCCAGTAGCCCGGCTGGTAGCGGTCGTCAAGGTAACCGCGTTCTCGGCTTCGGCCAAATTTCTCCCACGTATTAGGCCCTGCCCTTGAGGTGTTAAAGAGTAGAGCTGCCTGGGGACAGCTGGTCACCGAGTGGTCACGTGGCCTCAAGCCTTCAGACGTGGGTCCTCTCAAACAGGGATGGAGTCTGGCTAGGACTAGGTGTGATGAAATTCCTGACCGCGGTCAGCGCTCAGAGAGCACAAGTTACCACCCTCCCGGTCAAGAGGGTCAAGCGCAGGGTAAACCGAGGAAGCCTCCGAGTTTGGCTTCCCAACCAATAAGCCAGAGTCCCATAGCGCGGGAAGCTGCCCGCACGGGACCGGGTTACGATGCGTCGAGCTGGGCTGGGCCCAGTGTGCGGGAGAGGCGGAGTGCTGGTGCTGGGGGCGGGACTGGGCGCGAGGGGGCGGGGATAAGGGTGTCGAGCGGGGCTTAGCGCACGGGGGCGGGGATTCGGAAGACACTTGACCCTCTAGGAGCCGTCTCCCTGCTGAGCATCATGGCGCTGAGCGGTCGACTGGCTTTGGCCGCGCTCAGACTGTGGGGCCCCGGAGGTGAGCCACGGCAGAGAAGCCACCGGGTCCCGCAGATAGGCAGTCGGAGGTGTTTTAGGGGCGGGCAGCTGAAAGCTATTACGGTCATGAGAACCTGGCAGGTGCGCTCTTCCACAAGGCTCGACTGATCGGCCTCACCTGTCACTCATCTCTTTAAAGATTTTTTTATGCAGCTATTTCCATTACAGCACGGTCTTTGAATTGTTTTGTGGAAGTTCATTGTATGGGTGTCTCATACTTCATGTCACTGTTTCCTTATCGAAATAGTTTCTAAGCTCGAATTATTACAAATAAGTTGTGTTGAATAACCTTGTTTGCACCCCGTTTTGAAGATGGATTCCCAATAGACTGCCTTGTGTAAAGTTCAATGGTTTGTGTTGTTTGGAGACTGGGTTTCCTAGTTCGTACTGACTTCCAGCTGGCTGTGTGAAGGACGATGACCTTGAACTCCCCAGCCTCCACTTTCCACCTCCAACTGCTGAGATTACAGTCACATGCCGCCACATCCAGTTGTTGTTTATGTTTTAATTGACCCCCATAAAGGTTGTGAGGTTAAAATTTCACTAACAGTCATACTGTCTGCAAAATAGTAAAATGTTTTGTAAAGTTCTGGAAATTATCTATGACGGGCATATTTTCAGTTTCGAACGGGTGAATTTATTTAGAGAAAGAAATCATCACATGGATATTCAAAAATATCCAACAGAAATCTACCGAGGAAGCTCCTTTAAGGTAGCCCGGTGGAGCTCCCAGCCAAGAGAGTCGCGGGCCGAACAGAGTGACCCCTTTGGTGAGGTTTTTCAGTAAAGGAACAAATAGCAGCACAGAGAGATAATATCAAATTGGGATACTTGCTATATCCAACAAAAACGACAAAGGAAGTTGTGGTAGGCATCTGGAGTTCAGGCGCTTTTACTTGCTGGAGTAAATAGCAGGAACTTTTGTTGAAAATGGTCACCTGCCAGGTGATCTCTGAGGCACAGTGCTTTCACTCCTGGCTTGTTTTGCTCTTTGCTTTCCTTCCCATCACACAGTTAGGGGAGCCAGCCCCATTCAGACCTTGGACTTTGAGACAAACATGGGTCTGAAATGGGGGTTATCAACCCTGCCTCCAAAACCAGCTTCTCAGTGAGCTCAAACAACACACAATTTACCAGTGTGATGGACATGTTTGGATTTTGTGTGTGTGTGTGTGTGTGTGTGTGTGTGTGTGTGTGTGCTGGGGATCAAACTTAGGCCTTGCACTTCTCTGGCAGGCTAAGCTAGCACTGTCCTTCCAGCTTCCCAGTCTAGAGTCCTTAATTTTTAGGGCCGACAGTTGTTAGCAAAGAAATCTAAGTGCCCAATAATGGATAAATATTTGGGTAGACAATGGTCTATCCCCTTGCTGTGTGGAAGACTTTACTAAAGAGGTGTGCAATCAGGCTACGGCTACAGAGCTTTTTCTCTGCAGCGGACTTTTGGGTGCTGAGGATGGAGCAGGGATCAGGAAAGACACTCAGATTCATAGAGGCATTTCTAATAACTGATCATCTGTCATCAGCCCGACCCGGGAACCCTGGGGATGTCTGTGAGGAGGAGCGCCTTCACAGAACATTTCTTCTGCTCTTGATTTTAGGTGTTGGGACTCTTAGGTGACTTCATCCTTTTGTCTCTTTGCGGTGTCTCGGGCATCACTCAGTGCCTGCCTCTGGGTCTCTTTATCCCAGGGGTTTCCCTTATCATGTAGATGTAACTTTAACTTACACCTTCAGTAGATATTAAGTAGATATTGCCAGTGACTTGCAAACAGTTTTGTACAGGTGACTAAGAAATGTTCTTCATGTGCCCTGACATGGATGGCTGCCAGTTGCCAGGCACTCAGCAATGGTCACAACCTTTTTCTTAACCCTTTTGTATTCTCATATGGTTTGCATTTAAGAGGCGTTCAGACAAGTTAGTGAGTTCTTGCTGCTGTGTGAGATGGGGTATTTGATGGGAGGGAGGTGGTTTTGGAGCCAGAACTTTCTTTCTCTCATTCTTCATTCCTTGGTAAAGTGCTTTTATAGCCTCCTCTGATACAGCAGGACCTTAGGAGCATTGGCCCATCTCTGCAGTGTGGCCTTTCTCCTGTTGTTTTTTCTTGCTGTTGTCCTATATTCTCTGGTGAGAGGTTTATTAATATAGGTTCCTCCAAATCAGACTAAGAATTAGGAATGGGGATGTCATTCCGAGATAAAGCTCTTGCCTCTTCACCCCCAGCACGATAAAAACAATCCCAAAACCAGCAACAAGACTCCTTGCTTTGAACTTTGTCGGCCGAGGCTCCTGGTGATGGAGAATTACTGCGGCTTGCTAGTGGCACACAAGTCCCAGAATAACTGAACACCGACTGTGTGGATAGGGCAGCTGTGTACTGCAGGTCATAGAAGGGAGAGCTAGTTCCAGGAAAGTCAGGGAAACCTTGTCTCAAAAAACAAACAAACAAACAAACAGAAAAAAAAAAGAGGCAAAGTCAGGAAGGAGGGAGGATACTGTGGTGGAGGAGAGAGAAGACTGTGCTGAATGAGAGGGGCCAGGTTGCAATAAGCAAGAGACAGATAATAAATACATAAATAAATAGAATAAATAGAATGAAATTAAAAAGGCAGGAGTTCTGGGAGAAAAAGAATGAGTGCTCAGAAACAAAGATTCTGCTGAATGCCTTATTACAGATTCTCTGCAACAGCAAGAGGCTACTCAGTATAGTGCTCAGATAAACCAGTGGACCATCAGTCAAACGAAAGCAGTTTCAGACTCCAGGGAGGACTCTCACACGTCTGCCTGAGGAGGTGACAGATATTTGGGCACAGAAGGCTCAATCTGTCACTTGGCACTGATCCTGATGACTCCTCTGATGAGATCGGATCATACCTGGGAGGGGGGGTTCACATTGAATGCCTATCCTGTTGACACAGTAAAGCTCTTGCTTTAAAGGGAATAAGGCATAGTTTATTCTGAGCCCAGTAGGAGAGGCCATACCCTGGAATCACGGACTCAGGTTACTCCAAGTAAAATCAATCTAGAAGGAGTTCTATAAGCTTTCAGTCATAGACCATAAGACAATCAGAAATTCATGTATTTACCGAGTACATTGGTGGGAACATCAAGTAGGTGGACTACAGCTAAGCAGTAAATCTCTGCTGTAGGCTTCAGATCCTATCTAATGACATCTGTAGCCCCTGGTTGGTGGAAGCTTGTGTTCTTCGAAGTCAATACATTCCAAAGGTCTTGCATCATAATCCAAAGTATGTTAGATACCCTACCCAAGGGTCTAAAGATAACCCAAGGCAGGTTTAGCTCTAAATCTGTAACATTCCAGCTCTAGGGTTCTAACGCATCAGTCAGCCTGCAGAATTGTCCCTGCTGTGGCCATTCCAGAGTACCCCTGCTCACACCTCTGATGATGGGGCTGTGGCAGTGCTTCCCTGATGCATACAGTGTCTGTAAACCCTAAATAAATCTTAATTTCTGATACGAGACAGCTTTCTGCTTTAGTTGGTAGTTATGCATGTCGAGAAAGTGATTATCTGGATGACACTCGAGAGAAGTGCGTGTCCACCTTTGGTGGTGGAAAGAGCACAGGGCACTCGCTCTTGCTGACCTTGGGCTGACTGCCACCTGCTGCCTGTCTTTGTGCTTCTGCTGTCAGTATTACAGGTGGGAGAAGGCCCATAGCCCTCTCTGTGGGAGCCTCCAGCGTCTTCGGATGTGGGGGCAGCAGTGAGAAGGCGAAGCTCTCTCTGCAGGATGTGGCTGAGCTGCTTCGGACCAGAGCCTGCAGGAGGGTCGTGGTCATGGTGGGAGCTGGTATCAGCACACCAAGTGGCATCCCAGACTTCAGGTAAGGCACGGTTCCCTCTGATGTCATTCCTCACTCTGTTCTGCAGGGCTCAGCCTTCCCCTTCTGTCTCTACAGATCCCCAGGGAGTGGCCTGTACAACAACCTGCAGCAGTATAACATCCCATACCCAGAGGCCATTTTTGAACTTGACTATTTCTTTCACAATCCCAAGCCGTTTTTCACACTGGCCAAGGAGCTATACCCTGGGCACTATAAGCCTAATGTCACCCACTACTTCCTTCGACTGCTTCACGACAAGGAGCTGCTTCTACGCCTCTACACACAGAACATCGATGGGCTTGAGAGAGGTGAGCCACTTGCTCCTTGCATGTCTGTGCCTGCTTCTAAGGAGGACTGTCTGTGCTAGTGTCTGTGTGTCATCCCTGGGACGTTACCAGGCAGCTGCTATGCCTGTGCCACTTCTGTGTTTGAGGCCACAACTGAACCCCCTCTGTAGGCCTGTCTCCCACACACCTTCTGGGGTTTGAGTTTCGGATGGAGCTAAAGTTCATATTATTTTGAATCTGGTGTGGATCTATCTCTCTTCCCCCTCCTGCTCTCCCCTCTTCTTCCCTTTTTCTTTTCCTCTCTGACTCCCTCTCTCCCATGTGTCCTTTCTCTCAGTTTCCATTACTGACACATGGCCAGGCCTTGTTCTCTGTCCTCTTTTACCCTCCGATTGTTTTCAGGCAGATCCTTCACATCACAATGTTCATATAGAAACAGTGTCTAAATATCTCTGGATATCCCTGGAAGGTACAGCCTTGTTAAGCATAGCTCTGGTAGCGTTTTATGAAGAACCACCAGCATTTCCGTTGTCCTGGTCAGTCAGACATGTTTTGGTTCTGCTTCACTCAGTGACAGCAGCAGTGAGGGAGAATTTGCTGGTGCTTCCTCAAGGTGCACTCTGCATCCATGACAGTAGTCAGTGACATGAGGGGGCGCTGTGGTCTGAAGAAAGGCAGCCCCCTACTCCAGGGACAGGATTCTTCTAAGGAAGAATCTACAGCTCAGAAGCACAGAGACAGTAGTGGCTGCCCCATCAAGGCTACCTTATCCCCCAAACAGGACAGGTTTGGGGGGAAAGTAGGAATCCCCTAGCTGTGGGTTTCAGCACTGCAGTTACCAAACAGCAGCAATGAACTTCATGAGAAAACTTTGGTTGTTGAGAAGGTTCTGCTATTGCCCATGCTGGCCTCATGTTGGCCTCCTTGAATTTCCTATCACAGACAGTCTTAGCCTCAGTTCTTCAGCCTCAGCCAGGATTCCAGGCATGAGCCACCACACCTGACTGAGAGGTCATTTTCTGTCCGCTTATCAGCCACACAGCTGTTTTGTTCTGTTGTGCTTGCATAGCCTTCACGGGGCTGCACGCTGAGCTTTGGTTTGCATTTCAGTGTCTGGTATCCCTGCCTCAAAGCTGGTTGAAGCTCATGGGACCTTTGCATCAGCTACGTGCACAGTCTGTCGAAGGTCTTTCCCGGGGGAGGACATCAGGGTGAGTTACCTGATCTCTGCCTTCTGCAGTCCTAGGGGGTGGAGGTCTATAATAGTGGTATTTTATTATTGTTTATTTGTTTGTTTTTGAAGCAGGATACTCACAGTGGTCTGAAACTTACCAAATTGTCTAGGCTGGCTGGCCAGGAAACCCTAGGGATCCACTTTTCTCTGCCTCTCCAGTGTGGGATTACTAGTATATGTCACCATGCCTGGCTTTTGTTTGTTTGTTTGTTTTGAGACAGGGTCTCACTATTTAGAGAAGGCTGGCCTGGAATTCATAGATATCCACCTGCTTTTGTTGGAATTAAGAATGTGCTAAACCATGCTTGACTCCTTTATTTTTAAAAAATAATACATACTTATAAAAGAACTGAGGCTGGAGGCTATAGGGAGATGGCTGGGTGGATAAAGTGGCAGCCATGTAAGTGCTGGGCAGGTGTGGCAGCCCACCTAGAATCTCGGGTTCCTAGTACAAGCTGATAGCTAGCTTAGCTCTGCTAAACCCAAAGGCCTGCGTTTGGATTCCCAACGCCCATGTAAAAGTTTGACTTCATAGTACCACATGTCTGTAACCCTGGCTTGAGTGGGTAGAGACAGGTGTATCTGTGGAGGTCATTGGCCAACCAGCTAGCCTAACTAGTGAGCTGCAAATGGTGAGACCCTATCTCAAAACATAAGGTAGAGCCAAGCCGTGGTGGCGCACGTCTTTAATTCCAGCACTTGAGACAGAGGCAGGTAGTTCTCTATGAGTTCAAGGCCAGCCTGGTCTACATTATTGAACTTCAGGATAGCCAGGACTAGATAGACCTGTTTCAAAACACACATGGCACACATATGGAGAGTGACTGAAGAAGGTGCTCAGCGTCCACCTCTGTCTTCCACAGGCATGTGTACATGTGTGGGTACATATCCGCAGTACTATTCTGTAAGGTCCAGAGAATCACCTACAGTCGCTGTGCTTTCTGTTTCAAGCAAGTGAGTTTGTTAAGCATATAGCAAGCAAAAGGGAAAGAACAAGCGGCACGTACATGGGTAGGTAGAAGTGGCAGACAGATAGTAAAGCTTTAGGCCAAAAGGTGGCTTAGCTTAAGTTGTCTGCCACCAGGCCTGATAATTTGAGTTTGAAATGATTATTGTTTCTTTCCTTGATCCCTTCCTCTGTCTCTCCCCTCCTTTCTTCATTCTTCCATTCCTGTCTAGGACATCAGTTTGGAAGTTGTTATAGTTTAAAGCAAATGCTCTCTCACACATGTCAAACATTTGCATGTTTGAGCACCCAGCCTGCAGTTAGTGCTGATGTAGAGCCTTTGTGGTATGAGACCTGACTGACAGAAGTAGGTCACTTGGGTGGCCCTATACCAGCTTCAGGTTCTGGACTTTGCTTTCAGCTTCCAGGTTGGCCATAATATGAAAAGCTGCAGCCATACATTCCCATCTTCACAAATGGAGCCTGTCTTAGGTAGGGTGTCTACTGCTGTGAAGAGACACAGTAACCATGACAACTCTTATAAAAGAAAACCTTTAATTGGGACTGGCTTACAGTTCAGAGGTTTTGTCCATCATCATCATGGTGGGATATTGATGGTGTGCAGGCAGACATGGTGCTGGAGAAGAAGCCAAGAGTTCACATCTGTATCTCTAAGCAGCAGAAAGAGATTGAGACACAGTAGGCCTGGTTTGAGTTTCTGAGACCTCAAAGCCCACCGCCAGTGACCCACTTCCTCCAACAATGTCACATCTACTCCAGCAAAGCCACACTTCCCAGTAGTGTCAGTCTCTCTTAATCTATGGGACCATTTTCAAATGTCCACAGAGCTAATCCTGGCACCATGATGGGCTGAAATCCCTCTCCAGCTGTGAGTCACAATAATATTTCATCACTTAAGTTGCTTCTGCCAGGCATTGGTCATGGTTCTGAGAAGAGTGCTGTGACCAAAGCTAGATAATCTCTTTGTGTCCTTTTAGCAATAACTAACATATACGTACTTTTTTGTTCACATTTCAAATATTTTTCCTAGCTGATTATAGTGTATACTTGTAATTGCATAATTCAAGGGCTAGATGGTGGGGGATCGTGAGCTTAGGGCTAACTTAGACTACGTAGTAAAACTCTCTAAAAAAAAAAAACCTCATAAAGATCTAAGATGTTTCTTGTAGTAAGATACAGCACAAAAGTCACTATTCATATCATTTTAAAATATTTATTTTATATATGTATACGTGTGCCTGAGTGCGTATGTATGCACCACGTGGTAGAAGTCAGAAGGCATTGGATGCCCTGAGACTGAAGCTACAGATACTTGTGAGCTGCCATGCTGTTTCTGGGAATTGAACCTAGGTCTTCTGCAAGAGCAACAAGTGTGCTTAACCACTGAGCCATTGCTTCAGTCCCCATTTTCATAATTTTTAAGTGTAGTTCCAAGGTATTAAGTATATCCTTAATGTTCTGCAGCCAGCACTGCCATTCATTTCCAGAACAATCTTTATCATACCAATCAGAAACGCCATAACTATTAAATACCAGCTTCCCCTGAGCCTGTGGTACTGTTCTTCTATTGTCACCTATGCACTGCATCACAGAGTCATTCAGTACCTGCCCTTTTGTGACTGGCTAGTTTCAGAGTGTAATGTCTTCAGATTTCACCATCCTGTAGTGTGTGTCTGACTTTCCGTCCTTTCTAAAGTTTGATGATATTCCACTCTGCAGCTGGCCGTGCTTTACACTTGTGTTCCTTTGTTGGTGTCTACTTGGTTTGTTGCTACCCTTTGGTTATTGAGAGTGTGGATGTGGGTGTGCAGATATCTCTCTGTGGTCCTGATCTCAGTTCTTCCCATTGTATTCCTAGGTATGAAATTGTATCCTATGGGAAACCTAACTTAATTGCGGTATTATTGAGCTTTTTCACAGAGGCTGCACCAGTTACATCCCTGCCTGTTGCCTCCTGCACTGCTTTTCCTCCGTGGACATTGTCTGCTCTGCACAGAACTTTGCAGCTTTGGTGCTGGCAGGGTGTTCTTCATTTGGTTGGTTATGCTTTTGGCATTTATCATAGCTTTTTTGTGTTTTTTTCCTAAGGGATTAAATGTTTTAGCTCTTACATTTATGAATTTGATCCATTTTGAATTAATGTTTGTGTATAATATAATAACATTTGTATATAATATATTATTTATATACACATGGTTCCAACTTGTCAGATAAGATAAAAGTCAATCCAGTTTGTCACAAAGAATTACGTTTATTGGAGTTTATTAATATTGTGGTCTCAGAGACAATTCAGGAAGTTGAGAATGTGCCGTGATGATGACTGTTCATGGCTTAATCTCAGGGGTTTATTTGGATTGTGACTGGTGTGCAGGGTAGAACCGTCTCATGAGGAAGCTGTGGTTTGGAAGAGTTCATGAGGTCTGCATTTGCTGGTGAGTGCAAGCTGTCTCAGTCTAAGCTTCGTCTCCATGCATGCCTGACACCTGGCTTTGCAAAGCCACACATTCCACTTGAGGGCTCACAATCAGTGCTGTTCACCTGTGACTTTCTTCCTTGACAGAATTCTTGCTTTTCCTTGTGACTATCCCCCTTTTCAGCACTTAAAATGTTTTATTCTTATTTATTTTGTGCATTTGGGTGTTTTGCCCACGTGCCCGTCTGTGCCCTTTGTGTGTGCATGGTGCACAGGAGCCTAGAAAAGGGTGTTACAGACAGTTGTGAGCAACCACGTGGGTGCTGGGAATTGAAACAAGGTCCTTGAGCAGTCAGTGCTTTTAGCTTCTCTGTCTCTCCAGCTTCCCTTGTGGACTCTCCCCTCAAGCCCTTTTGTGACAGGGTCTCACTTTGTTGCCCTGGCTGATTTGGAACTTGTCAGGATGGACTTGAACTTAGAGATCCACTTTCATCTGCCTCCTAAATTCTGAGATTAAAAGTATGTATTTCCCGACCCAGCTACCATAGTGGATGAAACTATACTTTCCTCCACACAGTAGGCTTGATATCATTTTCAAAAAATATTGATTATGTACGTAAGGATTCGTTTGGGGGCTGTCTTTTCTGTTCTATTGATCTATATGCCTTTTTTTAAAAAATGCCAATATCACATTGCTTTGGTTACTGTAGCTTATAGCAAGTTTTGAAATCAGGAAATATGAATCAAAATTCTTTATTTAATATATATGTATATGTGTGTGTGTGTATGTGTTTGTATGTATGTATGTATAGATGTGTACCATGTGTGTGCCTGGTGCCCACAGAGATCAGAAGAGGACCTTGGATCCCCTGGAACTAGAGTTACAGATGGTTGTGAGCCACCTCTGCAAGAACAACAAGTGCTCTCAAGCAATAGGCCATTTCTCCAGCCCATGAAATAGGAATTTTAACATGTTTTAGAACAGTCATGTCAGCTTTCTGTCACTGCATGGAATATCTGAGACAATAAACTTAGAAAAGGTTATCTTGGATCTCAGTTTCAGAGATTCTGGTCCATGTATTGGGCCTGGGGCAAGATGGCAAATCATGATGTGAGAATGTTAGGTACAAAACTGCTTATCCCATGGTTAGGAAGGAAAAGAAAAAAGGAAGAGGAGGAGTCCACTATCCCTGTGAGGGCGTATTCCCAATGAAGGGGCTCTGGCCAGCCTGAGCATGTGAGGCATGGTGCTAGCAGACCTTGCCCTTTGCATTCCATCTGCCTTGAAAACAAAATAGATTAGATTCCTAAAGCTGGTCACCAAGGTCTGTTCCCCTATTTCACCACTTCTTCCCCCTGAGGCTGATTACTAAGGTGTAGCACGATTTCCAGTTGGTCTTAATAATAAAAACCCAGAGTCAGATATTAGGGTGTGAGAACTGAAAGATCAGAGAAGCAGAGCAGCAGCCACTAGTTCTTACCTCTACAAAATCCTCAGAACCGAGCAGGCAAGATCCTGTCTCTGTGAATCCTCAGACTGAATGCGCTGCACTCCTGTCCCCTCCTACCTTATATTTCTCTGTCTGCCCAGCCTTAT